TTCAACTTGGACTGAACTGGAGGCGCAATGTCTCACGTGTTCCACTCCTGATACTTCTGTGGCGCCGGCCGCCTGAGTAAGCTTCCAGCTAGCCGGCCATGTCTGCGAGGCCACGGCTTCACCCGCTCCGCCCTTAAGGGGCCCGGGCGATTGCCCGCACGAGCGCCCCACTCCCATTCCCGTTCCCAACCCCCTGGGCATCACCCCTTCTGACGCGATTTTGGACCCTGGGGAGTGGGAAAAGGGGAGGGGAAAAACCAAGGGGAAAAGCCAAATGTCTCACACGCCTTGTCACCCCGGCAAGCAGGGGTCGGCGGAATGCGGTCTCAGTCATGTCTAAACTACTACTTTCCTTTTTGGGTAGCGAATGTGCGGTAGGGGTCAGAGAAGTGCTTGCTTGCTGTCTTCTTCCGATCCACGCTCTTACTCCCATCCCTGGGCGTTACGTGACGCGTAATTGTTGTAACGTTCGAGAGTTTCAAATGCAAACGATCGAAGACGCCTACGGCGAGTCACCGCCGCCCCCTGCCTTTGTGGAAGCGCCTATGTGGCCGAACGTTGAGGCCAGACCTGCCAAGCTATCGGACCATGTGTTCCCCGAATCGGTTTGGAAAGCCTCTAGGGAACACGTGGGCATCTTGAAGGTCATCTTGGCCGTCTTGGAGGCCTCTTGAGCGATCTTTGGGGGTTCTGGGGCCGTCTCGGGCCGTCGGAAGGCCGAAAGGAAGGAAATGTCAAAATCCGTCAAAAGCCTAAGAAAAATCCATGTTTCTGGCTTCTCCTGGCCTTCCTGGAGGCCCTCTTGGGGGCCTTTGGGCCGTTTTAGGCCAGCTTCGAGCTAACTTCGGCCATCTTGGTGGCTCCCTGGCACGTCTGACGCCGTCGGGGGCCGTCTTGGGGGCCTTTCGGGGCCAACGGGGGGCCCTCTTGGGGCGCTTCGGGGCCGTCTTGGAGGCCATCTTGGGCGTCTTGGAGGCCATCTTGGGCGTCTTGGAGGCCTCTTGGGCCCTCTTGGGGCCATCTTGGAGGCCACTTGGGCTGTCATGGGGCTCTCTTGGGGGCCTCTTGGGCGATCTTGGGGGCCTCTTGAGCCGTCGGAAGGCCGAACAAGCGAAAATACCAAAATCCTTCAAAAACCTAAGGAAAATCAATGATGATGACCTCTTCGGGCCCTCCTGGAGAACCTCTCGACGGGCTCTTGGGCTGTCCTTGAGGCCTCTTAGGGGCCTCTTGGGCCGCCTTGGGCCATCTTGAGGCTATCTTAGGCCGTCTTGGGTACATGTTGGGCCGTCTTGGAGGCATCTTAAAACCATCTTAGCCGTCTTGGAGGCCATCCTGGCCGTCTTGGAGGCATCTTGGAGGCCATCTTGGAGCCCTCTTGGGCTGGAAATTGGGGAATTGAGGTCCTTGGCAATCCTCCCGGTACCCCGGCGGGACGGGCCGAAACCCATTGGGAGAGTTCTTTTAGAAAAAGAGCCAAAACCAAAACCGGAATAGTCTGGCACGCCAGGCACCCCTGCGATGAATCGACAGGGGGCGGCGGACCGAATGACTTTCGGCCCATCCCGCCACCGTGCCTATTGGATGTTCGCTGGGATCTCGTGGGAGGCTTCTCGAAAATCTCCTGGAGGCAGTTTGGACGCCTCTTGGGGACAGTTCGGGGGCCTCTTCGGGGCCTCTTGGGGCCTCTTGGGGGCCTCTTGGAGCCTCCTGGGCGCCTCTTGGGGCATCCTGCGTGCCTCTTGGGCTGGAAGGCTTGGATTTTCGGTGCGTGCTCCTTCTCTTGGGCCGCTTTTGGGGCCCTCTTTGGCAATTTTCGGCGCCTCTTGGGCTGGGGCTCTAGGGCCGTCAGGGAGCGTCGGGAAGCCGAGAGGCGAGAGCGCCACAATATTTCAAAAAACCTGGGGATTAAATATAATTTCGGCCTCTCGGGGCCCTCTTGGGAGGCCATTTGGGGGCCTCTTTTGGCGTCTTGGAGGCCTCTTGGGCCGTCTGGGGGCCATCTTGAGCGTCTTGGAGCGATCGTTCGGCTTCTCGGGGCCTCCCTGGGCCGTCTTGGGGGCTTCTTGGGGGCCCTCCTGGCCTGTCTTGAGGCCCTCTTGGGTCCGAAGCACTCGTGCGACACGACGCAGGCCGCCCAGGAAGGCTGGGCCCGAGGGGCTCCGAGGAGAACTCAGGAGTGACGATTGAGGCTCAGAGGTGTAGTGGGAGGACTTGAGGCTTGAGGGGCAGAGCGGTGGCGCATTGCTCCTGTCGCTGTAATCTGCCACTTGCGTAGAATGTCGGCTCGTCCCTGACCCATTGAGATGTCCAGCGGAGCACGGTTCCATTCGGATCCACACTACTACTCGTTTCCTTGGATGGTGACAATTACGTAGTTGTTGTCACTGTTGTTGTTTTGCAGGGGGGTCCGCCAGCGTGTTGCATTCCGATCTAGCTTGTTGCTCCCTTCGCTCGGTGGTGCCGCGCATTTGCTGTCATTTTCGTGAGCTTGTGGGGGTTCCCAAGGATGGTGGGCTTCAAACCATATAGTGGCATTCGGCACATCCCGCCGCCGTGCTTGGCTTGTGTGCCCTTGGATGCATGCTGCAGTCTCTTTGGTCTCTCGAGGGCGTCTGGAGGGTCGATTGGGGAGCTTTGGGGGCCCTGGGGAGGCATCAAGGAGGCGTCTTGAAGGCTTCTGGGGCCTCTTTGGAGCATGTAGGCGCTTCTCGGGGGCTCTTGGGGGCATGTTGGGGGTCTTGGGGGCAGTATTTGGGTGAATGGCTCCCGCTCCCAAGGCCCCTCCTTGAGGCCCTTCTTGAAGCCTCATGGTCGTCTCGGAACCGTCTTGGGATCCCCTTCGGGACCTCTTTGACCGTTGTCGAGCGATCTTGGATGCCTCGTGGGCCGTCTTGGGCGTTCTGAAGCCCGACAGAGCAAGAACCTCACAATCATTTGAAATTTAACGGAACATCAATGGATGGTATAGTTTGGAATTTTGGGGGGGGTCTTCTTAGGGCATCTCGGGGCCTCGTGGGCCGTCTTGGGGCCATCCACTTTGGACCGTCTTGGGGCTTTTGGGGGACCACCTTCGTCCATATTGGGGCTCCCTGACCTCTGGAAAAGTCATGCGCCACACCCCAAGAGCCATGCGAGAAGCACCAGGAAATCCAGCAATGGGAACAGTGGCCCCTTAAATATCGCTTACAACATTCAAGACACAGAGAACCCGAAAGGACCTGAGGACACTTCACTCAGTGCCTGCGGCGCGGTGGCGAATTACTCCCCTCCCCAGGCAGTGCCAATTACGCAAGTGTCGCCGTTTTCGCGATTTCTTGGGATGTCAGCAGACTGACGCCACGCAGATCCAAACCACGATTGCACTCCCTGCGCGGTGCCGACCTGTGCACGCGCCGTCATAAGTGTCTGAGCTCCCCTGCCGACAGGGAGACCACCCCGCATGGCCCCCTTTCTCCACAGGGGGGGACCGCCCAGGGGAGGGGACGGAGAGCCGCCGGGCCCCTTGGGGAGGTGGTATTCCGACCCGGATCCCACACACACACACACACACACACACACCCACAGGCGACCAGCAGCCAGCCTGGACCAATGAGCCCCCCTCCCAAACCATCCCTGGTAAAGGGCAAAAAGTGCATCTTGCCTCCTGGGGCATGCGCGGGGGAGCCAGCATATTGCTTGCTGCGCGCAGGCCAACCATCTCTGTCAATAAACAAAACAAAAGTATAATGTGGCTCCAAATGTGGAGCATTTGCAGGGCACTCTTTTCTCTGAGCTTTCAGTGGTTTCACGACTCTTCAAGATGTCACAATTTGTCCATCGGGGCCGGCGGTGCTTTGCGCTCCCTGGAAGAGCCGCTTTTCTCACAGAATGCTCGGCACTTCGCTTCAGGGAGATTCGGGATCCTGAACTCCTTGGAGCCAGGGCCCCAGGCACCTGGGGTCCCTATTGGTTCCCCGTAGCTGGCGCAACTGGCGCGGCTGGAGCACGCGGCACAGTTGGCGCACGTGGAGCATGTGCCGCACCTGGCACGCTTGGGCCTCCAGGGTGCCTGGTGCACCTTGAACCCGTGGCGCGCATGGCATGTGTGGCGTTCCTCAGCGATCTGTTCACTCGGATGCTACTTCTGTGTTGGGAGGGCGAATGGGAGTGAGCTAGACGGTCTGCTATCTAGGAGGGTAGCTTTAGCCCCCCTTATCGCCCCACCGTCAGGGAGGGGAAAAGGGGAGGGAATCGACTTAACTGCGACGTGTCTTTCCTCTGTTCGTTTTTAGATTTCTTTGGGGCTGGCGACGACGACGACGACGACAACTACGATGACGACGATGACAACAACGACGACGACGACGATGACGACGACAGCGTCTCACACACGCCGACTAAGTTGGCGAATCTGTGTGTCCCTGGGCCCCTTCAAAATCTCAGAGATCCTCGAGATGTGTGGCCCGAGTCGCGGGGCGCGCAGCGCGACAATCGTTGGAAGAGTTGGCGGTGCCCTCGTCCCTGCCCCCTTCCCCTCTCTCGAGGTGTTTGGGTGCCCCTGGGGGCCCCAGAGGGGGTCCAACAGCATCTCGGTCCTTGACCTTCTCCTCCCCTCCCATCCCCTCCCATGAACCCCTGCGGTTGTGGCCGCTCCCCCACCCCCCCCTTGTCTTGATCACCAGTCGGGCCCCCCACTGGCCGTGCACCTGCCCGCGTCCCTCATAGCCCTCCGCCTTCTCCCTTCCTCCTCTTCCTCCCCCCCCGCGTGCGCTGCATGCCTGTGATCATCCGTCGGACCCCCTCTGGCCATGCACTTGCCCACGTCCCTCATAGTCCTCTGCCTCCTCCTTCCCTCCTTTCCTCCTCCCCCGCGTGCGCCGCATGCCTGCAGGAGCTCGCTGCGAGGCTTCCAGGGACCTCCGAAGGCCCCCAGAGACTTCTCTGGCCATCAATTCGACCACACTAGGGAGGTGCGAGAGGGTCGTTACGGAAATTTGCGTTATGGCCGCGCCCGATAGGATCAGGATTTGGCCCAACAGTTGGTCGACCGGATCAACGCGGTGGTGATGAGGTTGACAGGGCCCAAGGGTTGAGGAGGAGGAGAAAAGGTGGGCACCGAAGAGAGAGGAGGAAGAGGATGAGGCGGAACCGGAAGAGAGAGAGAGAGAGGAGAAAGGTTGTTTATCCTCATGACGCGTCTTAGCAAAATGTGCGTTTATCCCATTCGGTTCCGCAGCTTGCGCCAGCCCTCATTACCCCGCCTGTGTCGTATTGGAGGGCTTCGGTGGACAAGCAGATGTTGGCGCTAACACGTTCTGAGGGTCATCGAAAAGAAGAAGGAGATGTGGAATGGTTGGAGGAGGAGGAGGAGGAGGAGGAGAAGGTTGGAAGGCATGCGCATGCGCCCGCCTTACTCTCGCGTAGGTCGCTCGATCTTGGGCCCGCCTTCTCCTGAGGCGGAGCTCGTCGTGTACACATCGTTGCTGATCCCTGCGCACCCCCTGTACTCGAATCCTTTTCTGGACGCCCCCATGCTCTCCGATGTCCATCCTCATTCCTGCCACACCACCCCTGATAAATGATACGGTGCAGGCCATGTCCGCGATCACTTCCGTCAAGCTTGATCGATCAAGGCTATGTGGGACCGCACTCGTCATGCACTACGATTGAACTCTTTTGCAGCCTGATGCTCCAGGTAGGACTATACGGGACCACATTCTCTCTGTACTCGCACCCGCCGCCGAATCTGCCATCAAGTTCAGAAGACGCCCACGGTGAGTCACAGTTGCTCCCTGCCCTTGTGGAAACGCTGGTCATGCGTCATCCATTGTCAGAACCATCCCAACCTCCATTGGGGCAGGGTGAGGTGACCCTCCCAGCGTACCCCCTCTACAGTCGGGCCGCTGAAGAAGGAGCTCTTATTGTTGGGGAGGGGCTCAGAGCTCCTGGGAGGCCCTCGTCGCCACCGCTGGATGCGCTTCGAGATCCTGGTCAGAACGCACCCCTGGAGATGCTCCCGGGAGTAGCGGTATCGGTACCCTGTGATTTCCCCAAAACTTGGGGGAGGGGGATGTCGTGACGCGCACGATGTGATACGCAGCGCTCGACAGGGAGCAAGAAGATCGCAACGATGACCGTGAGCACTGCCAGGTGGTCGTGGAGCACCTGGGCCGCGGGGAAGAGCATCCGGGGGCACGGAGAGGAGGCTGAGGATGGTGAGGAGGACGCGGGGCAGGACGCACCGAGGGGCAGCGGAGGGGTGGCAGCTCGTGGAGGGGGGGGCCCTCCCGCTCGCCGCCGCTCCTCTCTTTTCTTCTGTCTTTAAGTCGGGCATGTCCCCCTACAGGAGGAGTATTCAAAAATAGTCCAACAATAGCCTGGGACGATTTGTTTGAATATTTGTTGGCTAAGTTTGAGTATGTGTTGCTGTCGTTGTCGTTCTTCTTCCAAAATCCGCCTGTAGGAGGACATGCCCGACCTAACTCTACCTCTTTCATCCTCTTCTGTCTTGATCGTCGAAGGGTGCAGATTCGGCCTCGAAGGGAGTGCCGAGGAGAGATGGGGGGGCGAAGCGGGGGTGACGCCGAGGGCCAGCGGCGACCCTTCCCCTCCGAGACCCTGCCTCCGAGGGCGCCAACTATACACCTGAACTGACCCTGGCCGGGCCCATCCTGGGCCCAGCACTGGTGCACCCCCAGGCATGATCGCGTCTGGAAAAAACACATCGGGAGGTTGCTGGACAGTCTCCGGGCTCTGAAGACCCTCGCCGGGCCGCAGGACCGCCCAAAACGACACGCGATGAAAACCTTGCTCCGGGGAAAGGGTCCGGATTTCTGGGAGCCCCGATGTTTTATACCAAGGGGCATCACAAGTCTGGGTGGTGGGGCCAGCAGTGGTGTGCACGCCTCCCTGGCGAAGCCAGGACGGCGTATGCACGGATCGCGGGCCCAGGATACTCTTGATTCTTTATAAAAATGAGGGGGTCACAACCCTCCCAGACGAAAAGTTTTAGACCCCTCCAGACCATCCATGAAAGGGCGGCCCTTCGCCCAGACCCCCCCGAACCCTCCGAGACAGCTCAAATCAGACCCCCCCCCAAATGTGTGACCCCCCCACACTTTATTATGGAATCTGGAGTAGTCGTGACCAGGACTGGTGCAGGTGTACAGTCGGCGCCCTCCTACTGCGAAGGCTGCTGGACAGGGACAACGTCTACCCGCGGTTCGGCCGGGTCGACTGCACCGGGGAGGCAACGGCTTTGGCTCGGAAGGCGGGGTCTATGGTTGGGGCAGCGCCAGATGCTCCTTCCTCTTAGCTGTCCCATTCGCCATCGTCGTTTTCTTCCGCTTTACTCCTCGCCCTCTTCCTCTTTCCGTCAACGTCCCACCCTTCTTTTTCTTTCGCTCGCCTCTTCATCCTCCTCCGTGCTCGTCTCTTATCCGTCTACTGGCACGCATGGTTTGATGAATCAAACATGACCGCAGGGCTGTCGAGCTCAATGTCCCGCGCAGCAACAATGTAGTAGGCGGTCGCAGTGTTTCAGAGGGCTCTTGCCCAATGGTCGATTGTGGAACCAGCCGCGTCGCGGCAGTCTACCACCCTCGTTGGGCGTCGCGGCTGGAGGTGGAGCATGCTTGGTCCGCGTACGGCTACCAGAAACTGCGCCGCCCGCGAAGCCCGTCCATGCCGCCGACTTCGACCTCACCGGACGCCGGGGCACCCTCCGAGCTCGACCCGCTGGCCGAGCCCTCGCGGAGGGCCCTTTTTGTGGAGTCGCCCAGGAGCAGCTGCTCGCGCGCGCGGGCACTCCTGCACGCGAGGCATCCTGGTTCGAGGCATCGCGTGGTGCACACGGTCGCGCGTGGACTCCGCGCCCCATGCAACTGGGCTGCACGGCCACGACCTCGGGAGGCCGGGGCCCGCGCGCGCCGAGCGCGGGCAGCGCATCATCAAGGCGCACGTCGGGGAGCCAACGGCCAAGAAGTGGCGCAAGCATTCCAGAGGTATCAGGTTCAAGCTTGGCATCAACAGGAGGTATCAAATTCAAAGATATCAAGATGTCCAGATATCAGTATCGCAAGCATTTAAAAGATATCTTTTCAAAGGTATCAAGTTCAAAGGTATCAAGTTCAAGTTCAGCCAGGGAGATTGCCAAGTGTTCCAGTGCCCTCGGCGTGACCGAGCCAGTGGCGATGGCGAAGTGGCGCCGGCGCGGCAGCACTTTCAAGCGCACGATTTGCCAGCTGCTGCGGATGATATCCCAGCGTTGTGCGCCGACGGCCACCGGAGTGTCTACGGGCACGCGTCCGCGGGCATGCAAGGCCCCTACCTCCAGCGTTTCCACCGCATGGGATGCCTTCTCGGCCCCTTGCAGTTGCCGTGGGCATGCGGTGGATATTTCATCATGTCACCACAGGGGTTGCCTCGCTCCCAGTTCGCTTCCAAGTTGCAAGGCATCGTCAAGACCTCATGCGTTGGTTATACATGCATCGGTCGCGCGGGAAGTTCTCGCATAATTTTCGGCATGGGAGGGCCAAGCGCAATCAGTCACTTTTAATTGACTCGAAGCTGATGCCGACGCCCCGCGGGAGCCACACGGTGCACTGCGCGCCAATTTTCGCAATTATTGCGTTGGTCGGATCACGCCAGCGTCGGATTTCGCACGCGAGCTGCCTCAGCTGGCCAGGCCCGGCACCTTGCCCGCCGCAGGGTCAACGTCCAGACAGGCGAGGACGAAGCGAGTTCGGAATGGAGAGTCTGCCCAAGAATGAGCGACACGCGAGGCCGCCAATCGTTTTGGCCGCCTTCTTCGAAACCCCGCGCCAGAGGACAAGCATGTTCAGGCCCGGGGTTTGGAGGGCCCCGGATCGCCCGCCTTCCCCGGCGCGCGACGCTTCGACGGCGACGACTTCGAGGGGGGGGCTCGGGCCAAAAAGCCCCGTGCAGGCCCGCGGTTTCGGGCGGGCCCGCCACGGCCGTCGCCGCCGTTCGCGCGGCCGCGACGGCCAACGCTAGAACGCAGGGACATCACAGCAGAGACGCATTGGGAACATCAGCCTCTCTGCCCCCGGCGTCTGCAAACAGTCCCCCGCGAGCGACCCCGACACGGCCGAGTTACACCGCCGCGTTTCGGGCGCCCCCGGGCGAATGCAGCGGCCCCCGCGCGTCGGCTACGACTTCTGGTTCTGGCCCCGGGATGGGGGCGAGGCCCAGCCTCGAGGGGGGCCCTCCTGGAACCCCCCTCTTTCATGTTCCCATCGCGTCGCTAGGTTTGGGTTCAGGACTCGCGTTCTTTCGTTCCCCCAGAGAGCAACGTAGCGCATTGCCGCTGGATGCGATTGACAATTCTGTCGCAGCCCAGTACACTCAACGCGTTTCGCGCGTCGAGCAGACGGCGCCGGCGCATCGCGGATCGACGGGCGCGCCGGCGAGCCGAACCGCGGATCCACATTTCCGCGAAGGGCAGGCGCAGCAAGCAGCCGCCTTCAGGGATACACCCGCGCACGACAGGGCAGCGAACCCGCGGGCCCGAGCGGCGCAAGCGCTGGCGAGAGCCCAGAGGCACACGGAGAGAGGCAATGGAGCTCCGAAGTTGGCTAACTTGTTCGAGCTGAGAAAGCGCATTCCTGAGGAGTCCAGACGGAGTTCAGACAGCTCTGTCAGGCTGTGATAAGTTGGGCTGGGGGACTCGATTAATGCGCACTGGCCAGCATTGTCTGCATCCCAGACGCCAGCGCAGTCAGCCGAGCTCTCGCAGCGGGCTGCCAAACGCGCCGGGGGGAAGCCTCGCACGCGTCGCTGGCGGATTTCAAGGGCTGGATCACGTCGGAGACGGCGACAGGCACGCTGCATCGCAACATCATGGAATCATGGGCGCGCCCGAGGCACAGGAGAAGGCGCAGCACAATTGAGCTCACCTCTTCAAGCCGAAGGATGTCGCGGACGCAATGGCAACCTAGTGGCGCGATCTTTGGCGCGAGCAACATTCTGGCAACGACGCGGCGCGGGCCGCCTGCAGTCGGGCACCTGACTGGGCAAGGCTCAACAGCCTGCCCCCATCGACGCAGACGACATCAGGACGGCAGCGTCCAAGATGAAGCCCAGCGGGGGCTCGGCATCGACATGCTCGCGCGGCTGGACATCCAGCGATTGCCTGTCGTTGGGGCACGAGGCCCTAGCTCCTCAACGCGGCCCGCGCGGCCGCCGGCAGTTTGGCAGGCCCCCGCACGAGAAACCCGGCATCGGCAGGGTCGCCGGCATCCTGGCAATGGTTTGCAGGCCGCGGCCCCAGGCGCGGGAGCGCCACGCGCGGGCGCGGGCCAGTGATTCCAGCGCAAGTTGGGACGCGGCAGCGGCGGGGAATACAGTTGTTGCAGGAAGCCTCGTCGAAGACAGTCGACCACTCGGCATGGCGCACGGCTGCGCGGGTCTGGATGTCAAGTCAGTATGCGAACATACTTGCTGGAGCAAGTTGGCAGGTTGTGCAATTTCCCTGGGCTCCCCAAGGACAGTCCTACAGCTCGCGCTGCAACTACGCACGGCACCCAGGTTGCTCTCGATTCGCAACATAGCACAGGGTTCGAGGAATATAGAGTTCGCTTCGGCAGGTGCCTCACGCATTGCATAATTAACAGCTGCTGCGCACGGCGAAGGCCATCTTCTGTCAGAGACGGCGGGCTGGCGATTTGTTCCTCGGGCGCGCGGGGCCACGAAAGGCGGTCCAATCTGCGCTAGAGGGAGCCTTGCTGGAAGCATCGGCCCCGCGTAAAACAGGGCTGAGGCTGGCCCCCAGGATTGTAATTACAAGCGGCAATTTGTCGGATGCACAGTACACAGCACGCGCGTCGAGGTGGCGAGGCATCGACACCGGCGCGGCCCCGCAGGCGAGCTACCTAGGCGTCGACCCTGAAGGAGGGAGGCGCCCGGCACGAGCGACGCGGAGCGGCGTGGCCCAGGAGGCCCATGGGCAGAACGCACGGTTCCGCTGGCACTCTTTCGCTTCATGGCGCTAGCAGGCTACCAAGTGGATAGGGTTCGCAGGGCCCCAATCGGCAGCGACGCACGCGCATCAAGCTTTCCGAGCGTTTGGAGAGCATCCGGTAGTAGGGCCCAGGAGCGGGCGCGCCCCAGAGAGGGCGGTTCCTGGCTACGCTGATATCGCTTCGCGCGCCCGGTCTGGACTCCGGCGCGAGCAACGTTCAGCGCTTGCCACAATGGCTCAGCAGACGGTTTAGCTGCCCCCGCATTCGGCAGGGCCTTCGCAAGATCTAGGGGGCCTTGCCCAACGAGTTCGTAGCACTCCAGAGGCCGACAAGCCCAGGTACATGCTAGGGCCAGTTGCAGCGGTGATCACCTACCTCGCGAACGCAGGGCGGGATGTTCAGCCACCGCCGCACTGGCGCCGGCCTGAACACTACGACCTCGAGCCTTTAAATCGGATGTTCCCAAATGATATAGCAGTGACGCAGGGCCACTGGATACGGCATATTTCTGTCATGTATTTGGGCAGTCGCTGGAGACTGGCCTCAGGGCCGAGGCGGCCGAGGAGTGATGCGGGAGCGGTCTTGAGCTCTGGGCCAACAACGACTCCCTGAGGGTCGTGTTGCAGCGTCTGAGCTGAGTCACCCATGGCAAGCAGCTGGCCGAGCTCATGGTCACCATTGCCACAGGGTGATGCTGGACGCTCGCGCGTAAGCGTGCAGCATGGTTGCGCGATTACGACTTGCATCGGCGATGCGAACGTGGACCCTGGACTTGATCGAATGGCCTTCGGCCCATCCCGCAACCGTGCTTGGGTTGTGGGTATGAAGCCTATTTCGTTGGGAGCTCGTGTGAGGCTACTCGGGGGCCTCTTGCAGGCACTTTGGAGGGTTTGGGGGGGCCGTTTGTCGTTTGGGCTGTATGTTGGGTTTCTTGCTTGGGGGCTTCTTTGGGCTTTGGGAGGCCTCTGAGGCCTCTCGGGGCATCTTGATCGCCTGTGAGGCCCTCCTGGAGGGCCTCTTGGGGCAGAAGGCACAGAGTTTCGGTTCGTGTTCCCTCTCTTAGGCCTCTTTGAGGGCCGTCTTGGGGCCCTCTTGGGCCGTTTTGGGCGCCTCTTGGGCCGTCTCGGGGTGGTCTTGGGGGCCTTTGGGGGGCCGTCTTGGAGCGTCGGAAAACAAACAAGGCGAGAACGCCGAAATCCTTCAAAACCTTTGGAAAATCAATGTTTTGTGCTTCTTGGGGCCCTCTTTGGGAGTCCGCTTGGGGGCCTTTTGGAGCGTATTCGAAGCTTCTTGGGCCATTTTGGGGCTTCTTGGGCCGTCTGGAGGCCATTGACCGCGTCTTTGAGCGATGTTTCGGCGAGTCGCGGTTCTCTTAAAACGTGTTGGGCGGGCACAGCGTCCAGATGATCCCCAAGAAACATCCCAGAATTCACGGTGGCCGCCCCATCACGGCCCGAGACGGCCTGGGAAACGATTGGTCCGGGCCTTTAAAGGTTTACAATTTTGGCTGCAGCAGCAGCACAGCCTCTACCTCGCACAGCCTCTACCTCTCAGTGCTGCACGAGCCTTGGGGCACTCCACTTCGTGCCAGAGGCACGGTGGCGGATTACACAGAGCTTGGTTGTGTCTTTGTAACGCATGGTCAACGGCGTTTGCGGATTCGGACCAGCTGGCGCCAGTCCCTTCGAGTCTGTGGTGTTGGAAGTACCCCCCACCTATCGGCCGAGGCTGCAGCACGAAGAAAGATCGACTCGTGGCCCCTCCTCGGCAGCACTGCTGCTGATGCTCTCGCTGAGGGGGCAGCGAACAGATGCAGAGGTCCGTTGGCCAATCGCGCAGCCGCTGCTGATGTTGAGCGCAGGGCCAGCGTTGTTAGGCACCGCATCTTGAGAGCGCCCACTCGAGGCGGCAGTAGCTGGCATGAGCAGCAGCGTGCCCAGGCGACTGTACGCGAATGGTTGGGCTCCAGTTGTTTCCAGCTTAGGTTTCGCGTTGGCCTCGGGACTGCGAGCTGCAGGAGTGGGCTCACGAGTCACGCAGCATACTCTTTAGTCATGCACTCGGCGTCTGGAACTGTGGGGTTCGGTGTGTTTTTTCGGCCAACCTACAAGCGGGGCTCAGACAAGAGTGTCAGCGTTCCCTGAGCAATACCAGCAGGTTTTACCTGGATCGTTTCCGCAGGGATGTTTTCCCGAAGGCCGCGGGCAAGGCCGAACGACCTAGTCCGGCCTGAGGGTGTGATTGATTCACTGGCACCATGATATAGCTATCCATATGCCTGCCCCTCCTCCCTGCCCTCCTCCACCCCACGCCCGCGTCCTCGCGCCTCCCTGTCGGATGCTCGTTCGGGGGGGCCTCCAGGGGGGCCCGCCTGGTGGATCTGTTCGAGGCAGCACTGGCGCACGAGCGGAGCGCGTGTGGCTCCGGGGAGGCCCCCCGCCCTGCAGCTCCGCCCGAGCCCGCGCGAAGCCACCTCCTCCTCCTCCTCCGCCGCCTCCTCCTCCTCCTCCTCATCATCATCATCATCATCATCCTCATCCTCATCCTCATCCTTATCCTCATCCTCCTCCTCCTCCTCCTCCTCCTCCTCCTCCTCCTCCTCCTCCTCCTCCTCCTCCCGAGCAGGTGGAGCACTTCCAGAACCCGCGCGGGTGCGCGGGCGCCTCCAGGCGCTTCGCTGGCGGGGTCAAGGCGCTGTCGCAGCCCGTGCAGGAGCCGGCTTTTCGGCGCCCCGCGCCACGGGCCCCGTCGCAGGGCGCCGGCGACCTCCGCCTCTCGGGGGCGGCAAAGAGGGGGGTTATGACTAGGGGGGGGGACATCATGGCGGGGGGCTGTTCTTCTTTCGACACGTACCTGGCCCCCTCATGGGCCGCGCACATGCCGCCGGTCATGATTTGCGACCCCCTCTCTTGAACGCCCCCCTCTTGGCCGCCCCCGATCCTCCGGCCCAGGATGTGCCCAGCCAGGGCCGTCGTGGGTGCATAGACGGCGCCCTGCATCCACGCTCTCTTGAATTCACTCTCTTGGCATCGTTCGGACGTGTGCATTTTTTCTCGGCGAGAACCATCGAGGACCATCCTGGACCATCGAGCAAAAAAAAACACGCACGAAATCGAAAAATGCACGGGAAATAGACGTCCGAGCGACGGCGAGCTCCGGCACTCCCGAGATGGGGAAGCAAAGCAGGAGCGACGTGGAAAAGCGGGGCCGCTTGCGCCGGCCCAGCATTCACGCCTCGGCATTCGCGCAAAGTCGCGCGTGAGCGCCCTCGCCTCCAACGTGGCGTGCCGCGCTCGCTGGCGGCCCGCGTAAGCCACCGCGTAAGGTCGCTAATTACGTCATCCCGCGCAAGCCCCGTTTCTGATTGTCGCTCACATGGGGACGAGGCCCAGCAGCGAACGCTGCCCAGAACAGAGCGGTCGCTGCTTTGCAGGCGACCTTCACCCCAAACGGACCCACATCTGCGGCGGCACCGACAGCTCCAGAGCGGACTGGGGCCCTTGAGATCTGACGATGGTGATCGTTTTTTTATTCATTGTTCTGCCGATCGGCGCGGGCCCTCGCACCCCCCCCACCCCATGGAGTAGGTCCTGGCTGTGTTGGGCACCTGTTTCGAGCAGGTGGAGTCCCTGCCCCATAGGACGCACTACTGCGCAGAGGCCCAGGGCCAGACCTCCCCCCCTCCCCCCCCCTTCTGCCCAATGCCGAAACGCCGAAGAAGAGAACGCTCACCTCGAGACCCGACGATGCGCAAGCCTCGCGAAACATCACGACCGGAGCCCTGGGCCCCGTCTCTCCGCGTCATCCTGCCGGGCTGGATGGATCTGCGAGGGCCCGACGCTGGGCGAGCACGCTCGGCGTGCAGGCGCCGCAGCGCCGAGACCTCATGGATTGCTGAGCTGAGTCGGGCCTGCCCCTCTGCAGGAGGAAGATTCAAATGATCCCGGCAAAGCAAGCTAACAGCGATGTGTATAAGCATATTTGGAAGCATTCCCCTTAAGATTCAGGTGAGAATCCAGTTGTAGAATTCTGCTGTTCTCGCAGTCGCAGTCGCATTCGCAATGACAAGTCGGGCCTGTCCCTCTGCAGGAGGAAGCTTCGAAAACAGTCAAGAACTAGCCTGGGGACGATGTCTCGCGCATGCTTCCGGCGTGTTTGAACACTGTTTGACTCTTTTTTCTTTCTCGTCCAAAGCCCCCCTGTACTGTCGGGCCGCTGAACAAGGAGCACTTGCTTTAGAAAACGGTGCTTGGTCGTTCCTTGGCTTTGCATGCGTCCCGCTCCTGCTTTGGCGGCGAGCCCCCCCGGTGTTCCTTCGGACTCCATGGACTCGCTTGGAAGAAGAGGGGCCTCGTTCCTTCTCCATCGCTCCCTGGGTCAGCGGCCCGACTGTAGGAGGAAAAGGGGGCCCGACCTGGGGAGGACGGTGTTCCCTAGGCCAGGCCCCTAGCGGTCGTCCTGCTGGGTCGGGGCCCGACTGCAGGCCCCGACTGCAGCCTTGTCGTCCCCTAGGTCGGGGCCCGACTGTCGGGGTCTAGGTTCCTCCTATCGCTCCCTAGGCCAGCGGCCCGCCTGTAGGAGGACGTGCCCGACCTCGACCTGAGACTGCTGCCGGCCTCCGCCCCCAGTTCGGCCGTACCGACCGCTGGCCGGCCGCCGCCTCCGGGGCGCGGGAGCGCGGCCGGCCTTGGGGCCGCAGTGCCGTCAGGCAGGCCCAGGACTTGGCATCGCTCGGACGTGTGTTTTTTTTCTCCGGCGAGGACCTTCGAGGAGCATCCTTGATCATCTTGCGGAAAAACCACGTCACGCACGAAACCGAAAAAAGCACAGGGAATGGACGTCCTAGCGATGGCCAGAGGGTCTGTCTGGGCCTCCCAGACGGGGTCGGAGGATCGGGCCGCATCGGCACTGCATCGCCGATGCGGGTGGATATGGAGCCCGATGTGCTCCACGTCGACGTCGCCGAGGCATCGCCCACGTCGGCGAAGCATCGCCGACGTATCAGCGATGCGGCGCGATCTACTCCGACCCCATCTGCTCCGACCCCATCTAGGAGGCCTCCTAGTCTGATGGGCCAATGTTCCACCACCACTACCACAGATAGGACGGGGCAGAAGGGAGAATGGTTAGGTCTTCCTCCTCCTCCTCCTCCTCCTCCTCCTCCTCCTCCTCCTCCTCCTCCTCCTCCTCCTCCTCCTCCTCCTCCTCCTACCTACAGTAGTGGTGGAAAATCGGCCCATCAAGGGTTAGGAGGGGAACAAAAACACACAGACACAAATACTCGTCGATCCTCAAGAAAAAATTGCAAAATTGGAAAGAGCAGGCGAACATCCAGGAAATATGGAAAGTATGGGGAATCCTGAGAGTTGTGTCTGTTCATTTGTGTGTGTTCCTGGGCCCCTTCAGTCAGGCTGGCCCAGGGTGAGGATAAATCGCTCCAGAGCGTTCCAGAACGCTCTCAGAGCGTTCCGAGTTGCTCTGTAATCGGCCGCTGCTCCCAGTACATCCCCCAGATCCCGCTGGCTTCGGGGCTCAAGAGACGGGGGTCAATGCAAACGGGTTCAGTCAGAGCACCGGATCTTGCAGGATCCTGCAGAGCCAGGGCCGCATTGGCCCGGGCGTGAGTGCAGGATCCTGCAGGATCTTGCAAAGTTTGACTGACCCGGGTCTGGATTGACCTGGGTCAGTAGATCCCCGGCGGCTCTCAGAGATTGCCGATCCATCCTCATCCAAATTTGTCGTCATCTTGTTTCACCTTGGTTCCGGAGCCATGCCGCAGGTTGCGTCACGTGCAGCATGGGTTACTCGGGCAGGGCCAGTCGGGGCTGTGGGATGGAGGCCCGGCATGGCCAGGCAGAACAGGTAAGGATGCCCTGCCCGCACATGTAAAAGTGTATGTACATTTCTTTATACATAATACGAAGATATAGAAAGATCTACACACGCATCATGCCCATACATATGTACATGTGTCCATGTTATGATACAGATGGTGGTGCCCGATTCCATTCATCCCGCCACCATCCCCTTCATCTCTCTCTACTTCCCGCCAAGACGGCCCCAGATGGCCGTGGGGAAATGCCGGGGAGAAAGAGTGCGAGGATAAGACCTCCTAAGGCTCCCGTCGATTCCCCAGGGCCTCCTTGAGAGTCTCCTGGGGGCTGCGACGGCCGCAGCGGCGCCGACGGGCCCGCCAAGACGTCCCCAGATGGCCTCCAGACGGCCCCGGACAGCTCAAGACGGCCCCAAGACGGCCCCAACAGTCTCCCGAGAGGCTCCCGAGGGGCGTCCACCCCAGGAGGCCAGAGTCCTTCACTCCCGACGGCCCGCCCGAGCCCCCCACACGTCCAGGATGCTCCCCGAGGCGCGCAGATGCTGCCTGGTGCTCCCGGAGGCCTCTCCGGGAGAATCTGACCAACGGCACAGCGGCAGCGACGACGGCAATGAAGACGGTCACCATGGCGTTTTCTTCGTCTTCGACTCGGGGGGATGCGCCGCTGCAGGGCTGCACTTCCCTCGGGCGCGCCAGTGCCGTGGTCTGCCACGTGTCCCCGGGCGCAGGAAGCCCCGAGAGAAGGCGGAGGCCGGCGCGCCCTGGCGGAAGCGCTTCTCTACAGGCCTTCTGGCTCATGGCTTCTGATGGTGGAGATGAAGGGGGTGGCGGTGATGATGGGGACGATGGTGGTGGTGGTATGATGATAAGGATGAGGATGCGGATGAGGATGCTGCTACTTGTGTTGGTGGTGATGATAATGATGATGATGATGATGATGATGATGATGATGATGATGATGATGAGAATGGTGGTGATGCGGATGATGATGATGATGATGATGATGATGATGATGATGATGATGATGATGATGATGATGATGCTGATGATGATGATGATGATGAGAATGGTGATGATGCTGATGCTGATGATGCTGCTGATGAGGATGTTGATGATGTTGGTCATGATGGTGAAAGTGATTGTGTTGATGATGGTGTTGGTGATGGTGATTGGAAACATGATGACGGTGGTTGTGATTCCGTTGATGATGGTGTTTGTGATGATTTTTGTTACGGATGATGAAGATGATGACGATGATCATGATCATGATTGTGGTGATGATGCGGTCCATGGAGTTCATGACGATGATGATGGATGTGCTCTTTGGTGTACCATACTGCACGGGAGTATGACGGGAAACGTTTGAGTGAGTTCGACGGTTTCTTCCGTAGCTGTTTAGGCTCAAGCGAGCCCGAAACGGCTGGGGCGGCGCGCCCCCGCCCGCGGCGATCCCGCGCGCGCGTGCCCGCGGCAGGCCATACCGCTCCGTGGTGGTGGTTGGTGGCGAGCAGGTGGGGGCGTGCCGCTCGGCTAGACCCCGAGCTCCTGAGGCCCACCCTTCAAGCGCAAATGGCTTCCGGGCACAGGGCAGAGCTGCCGCCCACTCGCCCGCGGGCCGGCGCAGGACCGCCCGCGGGGCGGGCATGATGAAAAAGGGCCGTCCCGCCTCACTGTCTCCACCCGCCGCAGGCGGGGCGTTCACGAGACCAGCGGCAGCCAGCGACGAGGGCGAGGAGGTCAAGCCCAACAAAATACGTCTGAGCATCGGGAAGAGCAGGCCTCCATCAGACGTTCCCGTGCTCGTCGACGACGAGGAGCTGCCTCCCCGCCCGAAGGCCTTGGGCAAAGTGGCTGCCGCGGCCGAGCGAGGACTGGCCCC